AAAAATACTTCTGTCCATACATAAAATGTGGCTTATATATTTTTAAATGAGTTCCTCTTTATAGGAACCACATAAGAATTTCCCATAAGACTTACCTAATTATCCCTTGCAACAGTAAATTAGTTTCACTCACTCCCTCCCTCCCTCCCTCCCTCCCTCTCCCTCTCTCTCTCTCTCTCTCTCCCCCTCTCTCTCCCCCCCTCCCTCCCTCCCTCCCCCCCCCCCCCCCCTATGTATCTCTCTCTCTCATTCTCTCCCTCCCTCTCTCTCTCTCTCTCACCCATGTGATTCTGGGAACTGAATCCAGGGCCTTGTACATACAAGGTTGACATGTGCACTACCACTGAGATATGACCCAGATGATTTCATTTTTTAAAAATATTTTTACATATCTGCAAGTCTTGCATGTATGTATGCATTGCATTGCATTACATGTGTGCAGTTCCTGAAGAGCCAGATGAGAGTGTTGGGCCCCTTGGAACTGAAGTTACAAATGGTTGTTAGCCAACATACAGGTGTAAGCAACCAAACCTGGGTCCTCTGGAATAGTAGCCAGTGCTTTTATTGACTGAACCACCTCTCCAGCCCTTGCTTTACACTTTTAAAAAGGCAAATTATGGGCCAAGGAGCTAGCTTGGCAATAGAGGTGCTCACCACCATGCCTGACACCTGAGTTTAATTTCTGGGACTCACATGGTAGAAAGACTCTCTGACCTCCACATGTGTGCTATAGACACATGACCACCCCCACAGCACATAACATAAACAATAAAGTGTAATAAAAGGGCAAACTTACTTCAGTTTCTTAAAGAAAAAAAAGCCTAGATCTATAGAAGAGGAACATAAACTAGTTTTTTAAAAATGTATTATAAGTCAATAGAGAGGCTGGAGAGATGACTCCACAGTTAGAGTTTGTACTGCTCTTACAGAGAACCTGAATTCCATTCTGAGCACCCACACTGGGCACCTGACAACCACTTCGGAATCCAAGTCTAGGGGAATCCATTGCCCTCTGCTGGCCCCAGTAGGAACTGCACTCACACGCAAGCACACACACACACACACACACACACACACACACACACACACACACACACACACGAAAACAAAATCAGTAGGAAAAAGCAGCCACCAAATAGACATTCACAGCACATTCACAGCACATAGACTCACCTCAGGACCTACAATCACCATGTAAACACTGGGCTCTTCTTGATGCCATTCTTGGAAAGAAAAAGAAAGAAAAAAAAAAAAAAAGACTTTGAATGGACCTAACATGGCTTCGAGTCACTGCTGGGAAAAAATTCAGCTTGACTACAAACTGCTCCACATTATGTTTTGTGGTCTTAGGTCACTGAGTTTTCATCCATATTAACCAGGACTGATTCCCCTTATTTAGAAGGCCTACGTGTGGTATTGTGTGCTTTTACTTGATGATTTTTTCTTTTGGGGCCGGAGCAATGGCTCAGTGCTTAAAAGCACTTGCTACTCTTGCAGAGGACCAGAGTTTTGTTCCCAGCACCCGCATGGCCTCTCACAACTGCCTGTAACTCCAGTGCTGGGGTGGGCGAGTCCCAGTGTCTTCTTGTATCCACAGGCACAGCACACACATCATACACAGACGCATGCAAATAAGGGGATCTTTATAAAATAAAGAAGTGGTAGGATTTAAAAAAAAATCTTTTAGTCTTATAACTATTTCCAATTTCTCTGCCATCCTTCATACCTGAAGCTGCAAGTCTACACAGAGATAGTTATCCAATAAATTACCCTTCTGGCTGTCTCCAAAGTGATAATCTAGAAATAGTTCTGCTTATGCGTCAAGAGCAACAAAAAAGAAAGAAAAGGAAAAGAAATGGTCCCACCAGACAAGATGGCTCACACTGTAATCCCAGCACTTGGGAATCTAAAGCAGGAGGACTGGGCATCCATGGCCAGCTGGGGCCATCCAGTAAGAACACAAGACCAAGCCAGCCACTACTCTATTCACAAATCCACATGACAAGGAAGGGAGACACTGAACCACATACCTGAAAATGCATCTACCAAGTACAGAGGATCCTTCACTGGCCTGAGTCCACATATTATAAGGAACACATACAGGTTGTCTGCATTTTGGTCAATCTCTGCAACATAAGAGTGGGGGACACTTCAGTGGGGGGGGGAAGGGGGATACAGCTAAGTTATTCGGCAGCAGTGACACTGCTGTGGCATGCAGACAGGAGGTCCCCCACATTGGCCTTCCTTCCCTTGGCGTGTCCTCTAACTGCCTTGCCACACATTAGCTTCTCCAAGCATAGGTAAACCTGAGTTTCACTCTGCCTGTGAAATGAAAGGTCTCTGCCATAGAGGAGGAGGGATGGGGCCTGGGAGAACTGATCCAGTCACTAGTGATAAGAGACAGCGGTCCCAGGAAGGACTTGGGCATAATTCCAGTTGATAAAAGTGTGATTTTCTTGATACCAGCTAGAAAAGTGGCTTGCGGGTAAGCATACTCAAAAATTCACAGATGCATGGTAGGTACGAGCATATGTCCCTGGGAACAGGAAACACACACATACATCTTGCCGTCCTGTTGTTTTTTTCTGTATGTGCCAGTTGGATTTGTCAGCTATACCTCAGAAAACTGTAACAGTTCTAAAAGTAGATGTATATGTTTGTAGAGTGTTTTTTTTCCCCTCTGTCTCTCATTTGTTTCTATTTTGTTTCTCGTGTGTAGCATATAAGATACTGTCTCCTATAATAGCCCACACTGGCCTCAAGCTTGTTATGTAGCTGAAGAGGGCCTTGAACTTTTGATCCTCCCAACTCAACCTCTGAAGCCTAGGACTACAGCCATACACCGTCATACCTAGTTTATGCTGGGACCAAACCCAGGCCATCCCGCATGTTAGACAAGCACTCTACCAATGGAGCTAGCCACACAGCTTTGAAAAAGACAGAGAGGAAAGGGGGCTGGAGAGATGACTCAGCAGTTAAGAGCACTGGCTGCTCTTGCAAAGGACCTGGGTTCAATTCCCAGCAACCACCCGGTGGCTCACAGCCATCTGTAACTCCAGTTCAAGGGGTTGTGGTACTCTGATGCCCCCTCTGGCCTCCAATGGATACTGCATAATAAGTATAGCACATAGACATACACACATGCAAAACACCCCCTACACACTAATAACAACAATAATTAATAATAATTATTACTGTTAATAATAATAATATAGAGAAGGCCTATGAGTGCCAAATTGTGATGTAGGACCAGCAGTGGGCACCAGTTTTGGTGACTCTTCTCATGACAAGTGAAGCCTACTTCCTTACCCCTGGCTTCTAGATCCAGTGGGAATCTTCCCGGCCAACAAAAATGCAGGAACATGTCCATATGAGACTTCTGAGCCTTGCTTGTGAGAGGTCTTATCACTCCCTAGTCATCTAGCCACACAACTTTCATGGAAAAAAAAATAAGGCTTGATAACGAGACTCATCTTGGCAGACAGAGGTCCCAGACCTGAGGTGACACTGGGCTTCAGACACATGTGAGCAAGGAGGCACCAATGAACCCGGGACAGACAGAGGCTGCCCAGCTGAGTCACACAACCACAACAGTTCACACCTACAAAAATCATGAGAAATGGCCATAGTTGTTTAAGACCAGGAGATGTTGAGGTATTTAATGGCAACTGGTAGATAACTGATTTAATAGCAACTATTAATAGACTAAAACATCAGTTTTTATAACCTGTGTAATTGGCCATAAAACCATGCATGTGCGAGGCCATCTCTCCAAGGATGGGCAATTGTCCATTTTTTTTTCATGCAAACCATTTTCTGAGCTTACCTAAGTCTTGAGAATTAAAGTGGTTTATGTGTCATACATGTAATTGAGTGCATGAGGGACAAGTCAGAAAAGACAATAGAATAATGAGAATGACTAGACAGAATCACATGAACCAGAGACTCTGAGAGCCCTGTCTTAGAAAAGCTTTAAAAGCAATCAGGGGGACTGGGGATGGGGATCGGTGGCAGTATGCTTGCCTCCAACACCTGAACATCTTTTGATAACAGTACCAACCCCACACATACTCCACACTTGCCTGTACATGCAAGCGCGCACACACACACACACACACACACACACACACACACACACACTCTAAGCCAGGTGAAGTGACACATGCTTTCAATTCTAATAATCAGTAACCTAAGTCAGAAGAATAACATCAAGTTTGAGGTCAGCCTAGGCTACACAGACCAGCATGGGCTATAGAACAAAATCCTGTCTCAAAAGAAAAGAGAATGAACAACAAAAGAAAGAAGGAAAATTCAGGGTGGATATGATCAAGAGATATACTGGGGCAGGAGGGATGACATGGTGGTTAAGAGTGCTTACTGCTCTTGCAGATGACCCAAGTTTAGTTTAGCACTCATGAGGCCACTAGCAAGGGTCTGCAGATCCAGATCCAGAAGATCCAATGCCCCCTGCTGGTCTCCTCAAGCATTGCACCCATGTGCACAAGCCCACAAACATGCACATTAAAAATAAAATAAAATCTTTTAAAAAATAATGAAACTTGGGGCTGGAGAGATGGCTCAGAGGTTAAGAGCACCGACTGCTCTTCCAGAGGTCCTGAGTTCAATTCCCAGCAACCACATGGTGGCTCACAACCATCGGTTATGAGATCTGGTGCCCTCTTCTGGTGTGCAGATATACATGGAAGCAGAATGTTGTATACATAATAAATAAATAAAATCTTTTTTTTTTTTTTTGGTTTTTAGACACAGGGATTCTCTGTGTAGCTTTGGAGCCTATCCTGGCACTCGCTCTGGAGACCAGGCTGGCCTCAAACTCACAGAGATCTGCCTGCCTCTGCCTCCCAAGTGCTGGGATTAAAGGCGTGTGCCACCAATGCTAAAAAAAAAAAGAAAGAAAGAAAGAAACTTAGCCCGGGAGTGGTGGCTCATGCCTTTAATTCCCCACTCAGGAGGCAGAGGCAGGTGAAGCTCTGTGAGTTCATGGCCAGCCTGATCTACAGAGTGAGTTCCAGGACAGCCATGGGTATATAGTGAGACCCTGAAAAACCAAAATAAATAATAAAACATCTATGAACAAAAATGTCATAATGTATAATGTCATATACATACATTTTAAGCATAATTAGTATATTGTTTTAAAAAGTTACTACAGTCTCTGAATTGAATTTGACAATATCACTAAGCTATATTGAGAGTTTTATATTTTCCCCCAATTCTGTGAATTTCCTAGCAGATAAACCTTAGTGAATGAATATTTGACTGAAGTCTGAGCCAGAAGCTACAGACAGAATGTGGACTCAAGGTCGAAGAATTGGAATTCAGGCACCAGAATCCAAGGTCAGGAATCAAATGATTGTCTTTAATAAATGATAAGCTATTCTCCTTAATAAAATCTAAGGGGAGGAAGGGTCAGAATGAGAAAGCAACCCAAGCCTTCATTCCCAGGGAAGAGCCACTAATGTGTGCCTGAGCCTCAGACTGAAGGTCTGCTTGGAGATGGAGATCAAAAGTACCTTCAAAAAATATGCTTATTAATTTCAAAGGAAATACAATTCTGTACATAGGCAGAAACAGGGAGGAGGCTCCTTAGCTAAAGCAGATCTCAGTCCATCCAACACACAGGGCCTGTGTATTCACACACATAACCTACATACACCTCACTGCCACATAGGTGCATGAACAGTGTGTGTACATACACAGGAGTTCATATATTCAGAAATTACAATCAGCACTAGGACAGCCATCCAGCTGCAGAGTGAGACACAACTCCAACCTGCTCGTGCCCTCGATGCAGGGAGATGCGTTCAGATTTGTGGGAGGAAGAAGAGGGTAAGGCAGGCAGTGGGAGAGCCATAAGGTCTGCCAAGATGGGAGAGTGGTCTCATTGAATTGGGAGAAAAAATATAAATATGTAAGCCAAATTCTGCAACAGGATGATGTCTGGGGAGCTCACACAATTTCCTGGGGGAAACCTGGCACCTGGTAAGATGAATCTTCTGTGTCCCTGTGTGACTCAGGTGCTGAGGACACTCATCCTTTCCTGTTCACATGGGTCACCTGCTCAGAACAACTGCTTGAACACCTCTTGAACACCAGTTGGGAGGTGCTGTAGAAATCTAACCTTGTACCTTCTGAGACCCAGATGGCTTGGAAAGACATCCCTGGGAAGAGGCTGGTCCATGGACCTCATCTCTGATTTCCACATATCTTCCTGTAAGTTATAGGAAGATATGCACCGTATTGCAACTGAAAACCCACAATGCCTGTGTGTCACAAGCAGTGCTTACACACAATGAGAAACTGTACTGCAGGGGCTGGAGAGACCCCAGTGGTTAAGGGATCTGGCTGCTCCTTCAGAGGACATGGGATCAGTTCTCACTACCCATATAGCAGCTTACAACCACCTGAAACTCCAGTTCCAGGGGATCTGATGCTCTAGTCTGGCCTTTGTGGGCACCAGGCATACACATAGTACCATATTCACACAAAGAAAAATGCATACACATAAATAAAAATCAATTTTAAAAAACTTAAAAGTACACACACACACTTCAGACTTCAGGTGGATGATTATAGAATTCCTCACCCTTGAAACAGGGTTCCTACAAGGTCACAGATAATCTTGCTGGACCCTGCTTGGTCATCTGTTGGGAGCGCCTGTTTTGCCTTGAGCAGGCATCTATGGGAGGCAGGAACTTCAGGGAGGAAATGTGAGCTGCACCATGCAATTCTTCCTGCCCTTTTTCTCCTTTGGGAAAGAATCTGCCCTCTCACTGTGTACACCAATAAACACAGTCCCATCTATTGAAAGGCTAAATTCCTGTCTCCTCCTCTCTCCTGTCTCTTTAAGCTGTCTCGGAAATCTAACAGATGGGACTACAGAACAATTAATAGAGGGTTTCTCTAGCTTGGAGGAAGCCCTGCATCTACTTGCCAGCAGGGTATAAACCAGGTATGATGATGCATGCCCACAATGCTAGCACTCAGGTGGAGGCAGCAGGATTAGAAGTTCAAGGTCATCCTCAGCTATATAGCAGATATAAGGCCATCCTGGGCTACATGAAACACTGTCTCAAAAACACATTATTTAAGTGAAAATAAATAA